TGCATGGTCCTTTTGGGTTGCCTTCACCAAAGCAACTTGACTGGAGAAATAATAAAGAGAGAAAGAGGTTATTATGATTTATTAATATGTTATAAGAATAATATATTAAAGGAGAAATCATATTTGTTTAATTAATATTGGTCAATAATTAATTAGGAATTAATTTTGTGATCAAATGTAATTAATTAAACTAGAGGGGCTGAATTGTAATTATGTGATAGTTGGAAAAATAGGGCAATGGTTATCCTTGTTAAAGGATGGACGAATTCAAGGATAAGTATATCCTTAATCATCCAAGGTCCAAGAGATAAGGGTTTTTCAAGGGTTATCTTATGGTTGCTTGATGGGCAAGTAACTAGATAAGGATAAGGACTGAAACCCTAATCCCAACCCTATATAAAGACCCCTAAGGCCTTAGGATTTCGTCCACTTGATCCCTAGAGCATCTAAGGACGATTTCTACCTCCTCTCTTCTCTCTATATAGCCTCTCCAATTGCTTGTGGTGTTTGTGAGCCATTAGAGGCACTACATTTATGATGCTTGCTTTCAAGACTTAGGGTTTGAAGATTTAAGTTGTTATTACAATATAACAACAAAAGGTATATAATCTAACCTTCTTGGTTAATTTCGATAATAACAATCATCTTTAGGGTTTTATTATGTGTTCATAATGTTGTATATCTAACATTGAAAACATAGATCCAATGCTAGGGTTGCATGTACACATATGATTGTTTGTATAAAACTCATCAAGTTTCATATTAACACTAATATAGTACACTACTTTCATTACAACTATGGTATCCAGGAATACATACAAATACAGATGCTATACACTGTTTTTCTAACACAGAGTGCGCTAATACATCATAAAATTACAATAAACATACATGACTACACTACTTTCACTATAGAAAGTATTGGATTTTCTTGAGAAACTCACCAGTATTTTCAAAGTACAAAGACAAGTTTTCCATCACTAAAACATACTTATGAACTCAAAAACTTAAATGTTAATACAATTTCAAAATCACTTATATTTTCAGGGAACCGATAAGACAGGTACACCTGTAGGTTTTTGCAAAGACGGAGCTTCCAAAGTCACGTCTTTTATATTTTATTATACATTTTGATGTCACGCAAACAATATGTTGAACAGATGTAAAAACACTACTTTATCAATGTAATGGTTATGTTTGCTTTGATTCCTATTATACAATTGTTGTGATAATGTACATGACGTCCTCCGCCCCTAAATGTTTTCGCCGTCTCGGTTTGGGGTTGTGTCACCAGCCGAGAATAGCCCATGACGTAGCTTCCTACCATCACACGAGGGCCAAATGAGCTATGTTTTCTTGATATTTAGTTGAAGGCCCAATTTTGGGCCAATCACCGTAATGATGTTCAACACTTTGGACACCTCCTCCGAATCTCCAATAAGTGTGCCATCATCAAGGTACCATGCATGGAGAAGAAGCTTGCAACTATCTCTAATATTATGCAAGAGTAGGTGCAACACATAAGCAAAGAGATGTTGTCCTACGGGGTCTCGTTGCCAAACCCCAGTAGTTGACCAAATATGCGTGTCGCCTCGATACAACCCTGTTGCTTGACCATATAAAAATTCTACCCACAATGATATATAAGGACACCTTAATCTGACCTCATGAAGTAATGCGGATTTGTCGACAAGGTTAAATGCATTAGAGAAGTCTACGGTAAACATGGAAAGATATGCGTCATCGGGGCGCTCACTCAACACCCTATCAGCGCTATGTAATACGACCTTAGCGCCATCCGACACCCTGACCCCGAACTAAAAATCATTGAAATACTTGGCCATTTCTTTACCAACACCTTTCATAGACAACTTGTAAACCAAACATCTCCATATAGTTCCTACTGCAATGGGTCATATTCCCTTGTCAGGTTTTAACACCGATGTGAGAGGATCAGAGGCAACAAATCCTACCAAACTCGAAGGGCATCTTCCTTATAGCCACAGATGTAAATAGCACGTAGCATGTATTTGGCTATAGCTGAACCTTTTCCACAAAGAGCATCCAAAATGTGTTAAGCTCTCAACCTATATCTCCCACACGGGGTACCTTTAGGGAAGGATTTAATTCCCCTAAGGACATTATCAACATCCATTACAAGAGGGGGGGGGGGGTGAAAATACAGTGCTCAACATGGAAGGTGGTGGCTTGTATGGATGCTTATCCTCGAATGCCTTTATGGTATCACCCCCAAATGGAGCAACCCCGAAGAACATAAAACGTATACTGCTATTGTAAAATGTCCATCGACAACCTTACGAAGACATTGTCTGACATTGGTGTTGTCCAGTGTTATTTCATCCTGAATGTACTCTTTTTTTTTTCCTTGTTGCTCCAGTCATGCATTGTCAACTAAGTTTTTAACTAGCTTGGCGATACCATCTTCAGTCCCCCAAGTAGCTAATGCGCTCATAGTCTATGAATATGCACAAAATAGTAACGATGTATGATGAAAACAAGCATATAACAATATCACCCATGTAACAGAATTACAGAAGAGAGAAAAGTCTATAACTATTGTAAAATCTACAAGTAACAATGTAGATGTATATATATGAATAAGTGGAATAACTCATATGTCATAATCCAAACTAAATAATGTAAATTTACGGGGATAAAGGGTGTTACCTTGAACCATCATCGATGTTATTGATATCTTCACCAAAATCACTACCCAATCCAAATATGAGATTCTTTTGTTGTAATAATAATTCTCAAACATTCACCCATTCTTTAACACTATAAGTATTGAAACATTTACCCTGGAAATAAAATCAAATGTCGTTAATCATCACAACCAGTAATAGAAATCAAAACCAGTATAAACAAACATCCAAAAATAGCAACCCAATTTAGTATTGAAGCTTGAACATTCACACACCTCAATCACCATGAACTTTGATTATTAATTCAAAAAATGACATCAAATGTAGTGGGAGTGTCAGATTCATATAATTGGTTTCTACTCTCTTCCTGTCACACATAGAAAACAAAACAAACATATATGAGAGCATTTAAACAACTGTACTTGCATAGACTAGTAGAGAAAAAGAAGGAAAATCGGCTGAGTTCATTTGTTGGCTTATCAAAGGGGAATCTGTTATAATTGATGTCAATAGGCGTAATGAAGAAACTGAACGCGACCATCACTCCCAAACACTCTATTTTGGTTTCCAAAGACTGAGGACAAATAGGTTGTAGAGAGTGTAGCTAACTTATTTGCGATTGGTGGTGGATGGAAAAAATTTCAGGATGCAAGGATATAACGTACTTTGTGGAAGAACATCCATTGGCTTATTTGAGGATATGGCTTTAGTTGGACCGACTACCATGATGCAAGCAAATCCCTACTTCATTAAAAAAAAATGAAATCACGTACTTATCAATGTTTCCATCTAGTGGTGGAGTAGAGGGTGAAGAGAGACACAAACCCATTTACAGATCGCAGGAAAATCAGACAACAAAGACCCGAAATTCGATTTTGGTGAGTAAACAAACCCCTCTAAAAATAGATGAATAAAAAATCGCTACTAACCCTTAGAAGTCGTTGAAGCAGATAATGGCGGTGGGAATTGGGAAGCATCGAGAAGAAATGCTAAGAAGAAACCGATTATAAGCTAAAAACAGGGGTCGATCTAGGTCATATTAAAGATCTAGCTGCGTAAGACTTTAATTTGAGGAGCAACACTTTTTGTGGTTGGGTGGAGGGATTCGCCATGGAGGACTTCACTGTAAAATACAATTGAGGAAGCAAAGGTTAGAAGAAGCTTCGAGAAGGGATCTGTATTTGAGGTGGTGGATCGATGGAGTTAACCCTGGTAAAGTAACCTGATGAACAATATCCCTGGTCAGGTACTGTTCATAAGGGGAACTCTAAATTCATATATATATATATATAATTTCCCTCCCTATCTTTGTTTATCTCAATGCTCTCAATTAGTCCAAATGAATATAAGCAGAGGGTTTTGAGGCTTTAGATATAGTCTTACATGTTTAAAATAATTGTAATTTGATAAATAATTTTAGGTTAGATTGAAATTAACAGAAAGCAAGTTTGGCATCATGATGTATCGTAAAAGAATGATAATTACCCTTGTTTTAAGCCATAATAACACATCTTTATGGTGTTAGGCAAATCATGTTTTTACGTAAATAACAACAACAAAACCTATATCCTACAAAATTGAGACACGAGGGAGGTAAGATGTAGTCATGTAGACATTCATACATCCACCCTAAGGATTGAGAGATGTTTCAATAAACAACCTAAAAAAACACAAGCCCATAATGGTGAATACAATAGGAATTTAAGAAAGCGAAAACGAATACTAGCAAGGTGAGAATAAAAATGAGACAAATGTAAAATCACAACTACATTTTGAAAAACATAAAAATAAGAAAGAAATTTGGATCTATACCACTCCATTAATGTGATGTTCAAGCATCCACACATTTTTATATGAGAACATAAATTAGGAAATATATGATTTTATTTTATGTCTAATCACTTTATAATCGAATGTCTTCTCCTCCTCACACTATCAATTGTGATTGACCCCACACTCCTGATCGCAGCATATGTGTCTTATTGGGATATATATATATATATATATATATATATATATATATATATATATATATATATATATATATATATATATATATATATATATATATATATATATATATATATATATATATATATATATGAACTACCTTAATCTTCCTTCCTCAAAATTTAAGTGATTGACACCACTCCCATTATGATTGTCACATTCAATAGCGTATCAAATTGAGTTTTGTTGCATTTCAACCCAACCTCATGATGTCTACAAATTTTAATTTCTCTCATGACTGATATTAACCGTCAAAAATTCAGATCCATACGTTTTAAACATCTAACTGTTAACCTGTAAAAAATTTGTTTGAGTTTCAACATTCATTTATTGTTTCACAAATATTTTGTGGCCTTTCTCCATTTTTACCAACCCACCAATACATATGTACCATCGACAACATTATCATTGATACCTTCCTTACTATAAATCATAGGCATAAGTACCTGAAAAACTAGTTTTTAGACAAATAATAGTAAACTATCATATAAGCTGATATTAATATTTATATAAGTACTAAATTACAACGTCTTCAAAATAAACAAGATGATACTCTGGTTTAAACCCAAACATTTTTATAGATTTGAAATCCTTACATATAAAATTCTTCCATTATATTATTTCTAATTTTCTAAAATCGACAAATTTTAATTTTTAAAAATGAATATGATTAATTAAGGCATAGAAAGCGAGGTGGACTGGTGGAAGCTGTTCCTTCGGATACGTTGCCCATCAATCGTTAGCCACAAGACTCCCAAGTTCGGCACACCAACGTCGATCGCCGTCTTCCGTCGAACTCTCAATCCTCTGCTAAACACTTTGGGCATGACGACAAGCCTCCCATGGCACCCTCTACTCTCGTCGAAAACCCAACGCTTTCATCCTTCCACCAACAAATTGTTTCCCAATTCGCCGAGACCTAATTCAATCAGAGTACAAGCTTTTAGGCGTAGCGATTTTGATGGCTTTGCAAAGCGAATGGCCTCAGGCGAAGCCTGGAGAGATGCCTGGCGTAGCGCTAATAACGGTTTTGAGCAGATCCTTTACGAGACGAAGAAAACCGCCGAGCGCATCGACCGCCAGTATTCTGTTGGTCGCCGACTTTCCTCAGTCGCACAATCAGCTTCTGACCGTGCCAGGGAGCTCGACCGTGATTATATGATAACACAGCGGTGGCGCACATTTACTCTCGATTTCAGTCAAAATTGGCCCAGGGTTTGTACTCTATTCCTCTATCTCTTCCTTATGAATTCATCATTTATAGTCATGTCACTCGCCTTCTTATGCTATATTTCATCCAGTCTACTGATAACATGCAATTCCCCCCTTTCAGTACAGGAAGCAGTTTAGCGATTTCCTTGATACTCCATTAGGAAGAAGTTTTGGGGTAAGTGTTGCTTTACTTTGTGAGTTGTGCTTTGCTTATCGAATTAGAAATCTTATTGCTAAGATAGATGGGAAAAAGTATAGAAGATTTCCCTGTTGATAATGAAACTTGTGAAATTAGAACCTACCAAGATGTTTTAGATTACACATTACTCAGACTAACAGTTTGGTTGTTTCTGTAGACTATCTTCTTCCTATGGTTTGCTCTTTCTGGATGGCTGTTCAGGATTCTGATATTTGCAATATGGGTACTACCATTTGCAGGCCCTCTACTTATTGGCGCTGTTGCCAATAATCTGGTGATTAAGGTAACTAGTTTTACTGCTTGTTAATGGCAAAGATGCAATGAGAATATGAGATTCATCTTTTACATTTATATTACAGGGTTCATGTCCTGCTTGTAAGAGGCAGTTTATGGGATACAAAAACCAGATGGTGAGATGTGGTGGGTGTGGGAACATTGTATGGCAACCAAAAGGAGATTTTTTTACAAAACGTGGGAATTCTGCTTCTTCTTCTTCTTCATCTTCAAAGTCTGGACCAGAGATAATAGATGTTGAGTTTGAGGAGAAATGAAGAATGTTTACTGGTTGTGTTGTGTGCATACAAGATGGAGTGTTTGGCTTATAAGCTATTAGCCAATAGAGCGAGAGTTTTTGTTTAGACTCTGCCTACAAGTATCATAATCTGCTGTATTCTTTTAGTGTTAGATTTGGTTAAAACTCATAATGCAAACTATAATTGTATCTTAATTGAATCTAAAAGTTTTTTCATGCTCACAAAAGCATATATAACAAAGTACATAACAAAGTATATAGGTTTTAATCAGATTTCAGTTATCTATTTGTTGGGTGATTAAACTTTAAAAAATCAACACAAACAAGCCTTATTTTATGTTTGTTTAGTATGTTTACAACCTAGGTAATTATCAAAATTTCAATATTCATAATATTATTTCAGTAATTATTTCAACATTAATCAGTTACCAAAAAAAAGTTATAACAATTCAGTATTTTCATTTTTCGTCAAACTCGTCGCTACTTTGAGTTTCAAGTGATTTACGCTTGCATTTCAACTGTGTAAAAATCTACTATAATAAATGAATGTTTTTTGCCACATGTCATCTTCTTATTCATTTAGACACATAGTATTTTCTAGAATTTTTAAATTTTCTATTTTCCACTTGTTATTTTATTGTATTTTTTATTTTATTAAATTAAAGTTCCACATTTAAAGAAAAGAATTAATATCTATAGGTGAGCATTACATGTTTTTTTAGTAATAATTTTACATAAAGATAAGAATCTATAATGAATAAATTAACTATTTCAATATATAAACAAATAAAATAAAAATGTAGGTATTTATAAAATGATGATGACAAAAAATATAATTCCTATTATACGCTTTTGATATCGACATTTTTGATCATTTTTATGCCGTGTAAACGACAAAAAGGAAAAAATGGTCAAAATGACCAAATTTACCAAAATGGCAACAATTGTCAATTTCATCAAAAAAATATTAACTGTTGTTGTTGTGCTATGAAGTTCTAAGGTAATGTAATTATACAACTCCACCATTAATAGCATTCTACTTACATTAGATTCAAAGTTTTAACAACATAAATTAGTTTGAAAGTTTTAGACGTCATATATAAGTTTTTGATGAATGATATATTTAATGGACTTATTATTGGATTCTTTTGACGTAGGATGAGATTAAGCAGACAAAGAATTGGAAACATTCAAAACTACCCTTGTGGTTGATGTTGTTAATACAACGCAATATTCAGTTTCACATTTAAGTTGAATAGTTTCAAGCAGATGGTTAAAAAAACATAGGCATGAAGATTTCAAAAAAAAAAAAAACATTCCTACTGAAAAGTCAAAAAAAGAAGTTAAAAGAGGTAAAAGATTCAATCTTTGAGCAAGTTATAACAGAAAAACCGGTTATTGAACCAATACAACAATGACTCCAACATTAAAATCAGGAGAAAAAGTAAATTAAGTGTAAAACTATCCAAAACACTAATTACAGTCACTCTCTGATTTCACATTCTGTTAATTAATGAAATTTTGTAATTATCAATTTTGTTCATACGGATTTTACCTGTACTCCCTGTATCGATTGAAGGAATCACCCCTCTAGCCTTGAGTTTTATCCAATGTTCTAAATAACATGAGGCGTGACTTGGCGGCAAGGTAAAAGTTAAGCCATGACAAGTCTTGGCGAGCCATGACGTTTTTCAAGGTGTGACTATTTTATATATATTAAAAGAGATAAATCATATAATTATTGATTGTTATCAAGTATATCAAGTTTTTAGAAGTCTTATATTAGTATTTAATATAAAAAGTTAACAAAAACTCAATTATTTTAGGCCCGATAAAAAAATCAAAACAAAAAAAACTCGCGCCTTGAAGGAAATGACCAAAATGCCCTCATTTGCCACAATGTATTGCCAACTTCAAGGAAATGACCAAAAAAAGACCATATTGCCAACTTTAAGGAAATGACCAAAATGCCCTCGTTTGCAAGGCAAGACATTGGGAACAAAAACGTTAAGAAACAATAAAAAATGGACAAAAAGAAAGAAAACTATATTCATTTCAACTAAGCACAAGACCAAAAAGGTAGTTTTACCATAATAACAGTGAAGGTCCATGTATTAAAAATGAAAGATGAAGAAAAAAAAAATTGAATTTAATTCATTAAAACTTAAAAGGGAGTGCAGAAACAGTAAGTTAAAACCATTAAAGGAAGTGTAGAAACATGAAAAAAAATATACAATAAGCCAAAAAAACCATATTGCCCTTTATTCATATTATTGCAGCAAAACATCCATCTATCTTTAAAATACTTAATGACCACTCATTTCTTCTATTTTTGTTTTTCTTATTCCTAAGAAAACACTCCATAAGCAAAAAGGCTTGAATAAACTTGCAATTCATAATATTAACAAAAAAAAAGACTATTTTGCTTTGTTATTAACTAATTTACACGTTTGAAGTTATTAAATTTTACTTAAAAAGTTGTATATTAATATATCATTTTACTCCAAATGCAATCGTGAAAAAGATCCATTTGACTGATTAATTCCTGAAGAAGACCAAAATACCCTTTAGTTAGCCCCTCAATTTTACTCCATTTGTCTTTCGTTTTCCAGCTTAGCCAACATAGAAACATGAAAAAATATTAGACATGTCTATTTTAACAATAAACCAAAAAAGAGCATATTGCCAACCTCAAGGAAAAGACCATAATGCTCTCGTGTGAAAAGCATGAGAATGGGACCAAAACCGTTAAGATAGTGAAAGACCCATTTTATTACAAATTGAATTGAAATGAAACATGAAGACCCATTTTACTACTTAATTCCTGGAAAGGACCAAAATACTCTTTAGTTAGCCTCTCACTTTTAATCCTTATGTCTTTCGTGTTTTACAGCTTAGCCAACACAGAAACATTTTAGACATGTTTATTTTAACAATAAACCAAAAAAGAGCATATTCCAACCTCAAGGAAAAGACCATAATGCACTCGTGTGAAAGGCATGAGAATGTGGCCAAAAATGTTATGCAATAATAAAAGAAAGAAAAATATATTCATTTCAACTAAGCGCAAGACCAAAAAAGTAGTTTTACTCTAATAATAGTGAATCTCCATGTATTACATGATCTTGGTTAGTGTTTATACCTCTAAAGGAAGTGCATAAACAAAGGTTATGAATAGAAAATTGTGTTTCATGTGGGATTTTTAACAACAAAATAAATCCTTTTTTTCATAAGATTTTGGAACTGATACTGGTCTTGGTAATTTTTTACACCTTCGAAAAAACTAATTCTCACATAAAAATTCGCCCCTTTAAAGCCAAAAAGAGTATTTAAAAGAGGTAAAAGATTAAAACTTTGAGCAAGTTATAACAGAAAAACCAGTTATACACCTCATATATAATTGAAGTTAATGGCCTGATACCACAACACACAATCCAAGTTGTCCTGATACCATCTATTAACCAAATAAAAGAATAAAAATTACAAAATCAACATCATAACCGTTGATTAACATTTCAATTTTGTATGGTGGACAAGCTATGCACCAAGTTCGAACGTGATGCTGCAAACAAACTCTTTCAAGAAAATGTGATAATATGAATGAGATTATACTTATACATGATTTACAAATTTGAATTTGGAAATGATATGAATCTTTGATTTGTAATTGTACAGAATCTGTGAATGAAAGAAACAATGAAACATATCTCAAAATTACGTGTTTTTAAAAAAGGAATGACCGAAATCTCTATTTGATAATTCAGAATCTTGATTTTGAATTTAATACATTGCCTAACAATTTACGTTAGAATTGAAGTATTAGTCAACATTTTGAATTTAATACATTGCCTAACAATTTACGTTAGAATTGAAGTATTAGTCAACATTGTTTAAACTTAAGTCAACTTTGTTAGAATTAAAGTATTAGTCAACATTGTTTAAAATTAAGTCAACTTTTATTTATATTTTCCGATTAAGAAAAAAACCAAAACTACCAGAAACTGCCAAATGGATTTAAAGGAAAATAAAAAAATAGAAAAATGTCATGTGGTATATTGAATAAGGTGATGACAAGTGGCAGATTTATTTTCATTTATTAAGGAGGATATTTATTAGAAAAATGATTTATATATGTAATGTATTCAATAAATTAAAGTCTCATTAATTTTAATAGTTCAAAAAAAAAATTATTTTTCTTATAAATTCAAAAATTTTAAATTGTTAAAATTTAAAATTTTTTTTTTTTTTTAAAATAAACTCATGTAATACATAAGTTTTTCGAGGCCGTTTATACGAAAACTTTGGGCCGATGAGCCCAATTAACTTATGGGCCCAACTCTTTGTTCTCTTTTGTACATATCGCAAACCCTCACCACGACAAGGGTAGATCGCCAAACCCTAATTCTTCCCAACAAAATTACTCTCCGTCTTCTTCGATTTTCTTCGCTTCTTGGCAACAATGGTATCGGGGAAGAAGACGGTAAGATATGAACGGATCTGTTCTTGTTTTTTCATGTCTCTGTCTCGTTGATAATAACCTGTATTTATTTTCACCATTCTTTTTTGGTTTTCATACTACAGAAGAAGACTCATGAGAGCATCAACAACAGGTTGGCTCTCGTGATGAAGAGTGGAAAATACACTCTTGGTTACAAGACGGTCCTCGAGTCTCTCAGAAGCTCCAAAGGTATGCATATAAGTATTCATCATAGCATGACTTCTTCGATCTAAACATACACCAGCTTCTGAATTTAGGGTTTTATTCTGTTTCTTTGAATTAGAATATGATATTTCGCTCATTATGATTCCATTCCAAGTGTAGGTAAGTTGATTATCATTTCCAACAACTGTCCGCCCTTGAGGAAATCTGAGATCGAGTATTATGCCATGCTCGCCAAGGTTGGGGTTCATCATTACAATGGAAGTAAGTACATCAAATCCTCCCTCGTTTTTTCCCCTTCCTATGTCTTAGTGTTCTTAGCCATCGTGTTAAAACTTCGATTGCTCTTAGAGTTTAAACATTCTGAGTTGTTTTATGACACCTGCTTGAATCTGATCATACCAATTTCTAGATGACGAGAATAAACTTATGCAGAAATTGGATTAGATATAAAAGATCATACATTGAAAAACAATATCATATCATTACATTAATTAATTTGGTTTATGGATGGGCAGACAATGTTGACCTAGGGACAGCATGTGGAAAGTATTTCAGAGTGTCATGCCTTAGTATTGTTGATCCAGGTAACAATGAATT